ATTGTTCATTCTCAAAGTAGAAAATTATATTGTAATTATGTTCAATTTATTAAAAGTGTAATTAAATCTCTATTTTCTTAATTTTTTTTGTTTCAAACTTCTCAATTCTACATTTTTTTAACTTCTATCATTATATTATCATCCTCATCTCCTCCCATGTTCTACTTTATCTTTACAATAGTTAATATTCTTAAATAATGTATATTTTTAATTATAATTTTTTAATATATATTTCAGAAATTAATCAATTCTAAGCTATTATTTGAAAAACTAATCAATTCTAATCAATAATTTAGAAAAATAATCGATTAGAATTAATTATTTGAAAAAATTATCAAATATGATCGATCATTTCGAAAATCTAATCGATCAGAATCAAATTTCGCTCGAGCGATATATAGTCGCTCAAGCGAAACACAACCCGAGACTCAAGAAACTTAAAATATGGTTGTATATAGGGAGCTTATAATAGCGGTTAAACCTTAACCGCTATCTAATATACACTTTAGATAGCGGTTACAGAGGAACCGCTATTATATCCTCCAATTATGATCGATCATTTCAAATTATGATCGATCAGGATCTTATTTCGCTCGAGCGAGAGTAGTATCGCTCGAGCGAAATACAACCGAGACTGAATCTTAAAATATTTTTTTGAATATTATGTTTTTTAATTTGCTATTAGAGAAAACCTTTCAGAATTCAAAATGTTAAATAATTTTAAATATTAAAATTAACTTTATCAAAAATTAGGGAAACAAAATTTATCCAAAAGAGTTCAAAATGTATAAGAGTATTCTCAATTTTGAGTGGAAGTGATTGAATGATCTGAACATTACACTTGACTGCAAAAGATGAATAACATTATAATTATTTGTTTGAAGAGCATTAGTGTGCATAGGTTTATAATTTTAGTAATGTTTCATTTAATTATTATTCTATTTTCACTGTATTTTATATTTGTTTTAAATAATAATGTACAATTATATTATTAGTTTTCATAATTATTTGTTATTATCAGATCAATATTAATTATTATTTTATATTTTATAATTATTTAATTATTAGTCAAATAATTTATTTAATATGTCAAAATTATAATTTATTTATATAATTTTTAATAACTTGTATATATATATATATATAAATATAATTTTATATCAAAATTATATATTCTAAAATATAATTTATTTTCATTTCTATAATATATATATATAAATGAAAATAAGTTATATTATGGAATATATATTTATATTATAGTAATTAATATAAATAATATTTAACAATATATATATATCCATTAATAAAAGTGCAGTTTTAATCTGTTAAAACTTCTTTTAATCTATTAATACGTTCTTGATTCTTTAACAGATTTGTTTTAACTGATACGACAACGTTTATATCAATTAAAACACTTTACAAAAAATCTTCTAAGTTGATTTAATCGATTGTTTCGCGATTCAATCGATTGAAATACTGCAAAACTTTCTCGTACAACTTTTCAAGTTATTTTAACTGATAAAAATAAGTTTTAATCGATTAAAACGCTGTGCAGAAATTGTTTTAATCGATTAAAATATTTCTGATCGGTCATAACTGCATTCTGATCGATCATAATTGAAACGATATAATAGCGGTTCCAGGTTAACCGCTATCTAAGTGAGATTTTTAAGAGCGGTTCCTGCGTAACCGCTATCTAAACTCTATCTCGCTTGAGCGACAATCTTTTCGCTCGAGCGAAACGCCCCATGGACAAAATTGGCATTCTCGGGTTGTATTTCGCTTGAGCGACTCTAGTTTCGCTCGAGCGATATTTGATTCTGATCGATCATTTTGGCAAGGTAATCGATCATTTGAAAGTTTATATCTTCTAAAATATATAATCAAATAATTGAGACTTTAGATAGCGGTTAACATGGAACCGCTATCATATGGGACTTTTAAGAGCGGTTATCATTGTAACCACTCTTAAAAGTCAATATATAATAGCGGTTCCAGTTTAACCGCTATCTTATATATATTTGTAATATCGGTTATTCATTGGAACCGTTATCTAAAATCTTCATTATTTGACAAAGTATATATTCTAAACACGACAAAAGGAGGTAAGTCATGAACAGAATAATTATTTGTTATTATCAGTCAATATTAATTATTAATTTATATTTTTTAATTATTTAATTATTAGTCAAATAATTTATTTAATATGTCAACATTATTTGAATATGGATATGCAATGTACATAATTTTGTAATTGTTTATTTATATAATTTTTAATAACTATCTAAAAAAAGTTAATTTTGTAAATTTGTTTCCAATTACAAACACTTTTAAATTTGTTTCTTCTTTTAACTATATAATCAATGTTAAAATATGGATAATTAATTAAAAAATTATATTTATAATCATTTGAACCTTATTTTATACAAAGGGTAAAATGGTAATTTTCTTAAATAATCAATTAAAATTATAATTTTTATATCTCATATCAATCAAATCATTCACAATTTCCCATAAACTTTCCTTTCACTTTCCATTCATCCAATCAACTTTAATTTCATCTCCATTTCTCTTCAAATCCCTCCTTTTTCACTCTCTCATTTCCACTCTCTCAAATCACTCCAACCAAACAAAGCGTTAAAGATCTTAAATGAAGAATGTGAACAACATATTTTATAAATAAATTATTGACAATTTGATATATTTAACTACAATATGACCAAATATATAATGTTTTTGGTTAGTATGATTCATAGACATATGGAAAATCTTAAGAAAATGTATTTGTTAGCAGTAAATAAAATCTTTCTCTATTTACAAGGAACTAAAAGTTTAATCTCATATTTTTTTTATATGCTTACATTGTCTCTTTTAATTAAACTTAACAATATTGTTAATCTCTTTAAAAAATCCTAATAGGAATCCCAATTTGTCACTCTCTTATTATTATTAGAGTCAACAAAAATTCTAAGATTGATTTTTGTTATCAAGTGTATATTTAATAACACTGATTTAATTTTTTAGAATTCATGAGTTTTTTATATAACATGAATTGTTGTGATATTTATCTGACAGATGTTAGTATGAGATGATAGGAACTTATATGAACATCATGATGTAAAAATATTGTATGAAAACTACACAGTGATGATAAATGTGTGTATACTATTATTTTGATACAATTTTTTAATTACATAGTATATCTAAATTCTTAGTTTATTGTGTATTGTTGTTTTTGTTTTAAATCCTATGGAAGTATATAATAATAGAAGTTGGTTAGAATAGGTACAAAGTAAATAATTTATTTCTTAGTTTTATTTTGATAAGTGTGATATATGTATATATTTTCTTTTATTGAGAATAAGTAATAAACCTTGGTTAGAATAGGTATAAAGTAAATAATTTAGTTTTTAGTCTTATTTTAGTAAGTGTGATATATGTATATATATATTTTCTTATTGAGAAGAAATTGAATAATTATATATATATATATATATATATATATATATATATATATATATATATATATATATATATAAAGTAGATATTGATATTACGATGTTGTTACATTTACATTTCATATTTATTTTGATATTAAAGAGTGAAATTTCTATTATATAGGAAGAAAATGCTTTCTTTGATCCGTTTAATTTTCATAATGTTAATCATAACAAGTGAAAAGAGTTAAAAAAATAATAATTAGGTTGACAATTAGCAATGAAATAAATTTTAATATTTTTATATATTTTTTTGACACAGTGATTTATTTACTTATATACTTTGTATATAAAGTAAAAATATAATAAATTATCAAATATTAATAATATTTTAATCATAATTATTTAAATCAAAATAATAATTTGATATACATTTTTCTTATTATAAACAATAATAAAAATATCTTAATACTTAATTTAAGTAAAATAATATTCCTAACAAAAATTATATTTACAAAATTATTTATTTTGTAAATTTTTAAAACTGTATTATTTTGGTATAAGGACGACTATCATTCTTCTAATTATTTAATAATATAAAATAAATTTTATTTAATTCCCTGAGACAAAACTTGTCCTTTTAAAATGGCAATAATCTAATTTAGTGAAAAGTAAAATTATATTTTTAGCAACATTTATCGTAGGCAATAAATAATTATTTTAGTAAAGTGAGATTTATAAAATGAAAATATATATTTTTTTTTATAAGTCATAAAAATATTTATTATGTATCATGATTCGAATATATCATCAATACTTTATACCACATTAATCGTATTGTCAATTATAGTTTACATATTGATATTTTTTCCAATTCTCTAAAAAAATGTTTTTGAATACTAAAAATACGATCATTTCAATTTTTTTATTCTATTTTGTTCGATTTTTAAAAGCAAATTAGTTTTATTTACATGTATTTCTTAGGAATAGACACAAATTTTCATATAATGTTATATATAAGTGTATTGATTTTAAATGTAAAAATATCTTTAAGTAATTTAATCTTTTAAAGATTTAAAAAACTAATAATACAATTAATTAATTTTCTTAATTAGGGTAAATTGTTGTTTTTTATATTTTAAAAGTATAATATTTTGGTTCTCATAAGGAAAAGGAAAAGCAATAATTGAATGTCAACACTTATCTTATCCCTGCCTTAATCAACTTGAAAAATGGTACTATCAGAATCATAGATTTCCATAAATCCGTGGGACCAGTGGACCAATCTCAAGAAAAGTATCAACACTGAGCCAATGGATTTCTCCCACAGAATATCCCAAACTTTAAAGTATATCCAATTGAATTGACTAGTCCTGTGTGCCATTGCATCCAAGGTGCTCAAAAGCTCCTAGTTTTTGCGATACTACTAAGCCTTATGCCCCGTTTCTTAGCCTTTCTATATAAACCACACTGTCATCACCACCAACAATCTTGCAAAACACACAAAGCAAAACCAAGAGAAGAAAGAGTTTTACCTTGTCAGTTTGTAAGTGCTGAAAAACAATGTCTGCTGTGGTAGAAGTGTGGGTGGGGGAGCTGACAAAGCTTAGAGAAAAAGTACTTGCCCGCAAGCCTTTCTTATCCAAAGCCAAAGAAGCATCAGAAAGGGATCAGGAAGAGAAGGAAGCTCAAAAGAAAAACACTGCAGTTAAGAGAGACAGTAGTGGAACCATGTCAGAGGCAACCATGTGTATGCTTATGGATCGGTTTGTGCCTTGGTGATATGTTTTTCATTTCTATCTATCTATCGGTTCTTCCTCGTTTCAAGGAATGAGCAATAGCAGAAAAGCAGAATCAACATGTCTTGTATATTCTATTTCTTTCTATCTATCAGTTCCTAGTTCTCGAGTTATGTAATTGAAATGTTATGAACTATTATTGTACATGAGTGATGATCTAATCAAAACATGATATTTGGTATAGCAATTTGTATGTTGAGTTTAATTTTAGGTTTGATTATGTATTTCAGTACTATTTTAGTTTTTAGTCGACTAAGCAATTATAATCTTTTGGACATGTTGGTGGATTTCGTCTTACAGAAAAGTTAAAATCACTGAATAATTGATGCTTATGACTAGAATGTTCTGATACTTGAAACTTCAAAACTAAAATTACACTATTGTTGATTAAATTGTCATTGTCTTGTTTTCTGGAACTTAAATCTGAATTATTGCTGCTAAATTTCACATTTTTTTTATGCTCATAAAAGTTTAGATATTACGATTATTAGAAATGAAGTGCACTGTCTTCCCTGGATATTTTGTCAAGCCTAAACAATATCAGGGGCAGTACGTGACAAGATGGTCATAGTCACACCCTACTAAGTTCATTGTTTTGTCATAAAAGGCCCATTGAACAATTTGCATCTAATATAAAGGGTGATACAGAAACAGATTCTTTAATACTAGCATTGAATGAAAAAATTTGTTTTCATTCGTACCAAAGATATTTTTTATATTGAAAAACACTTTCTAATCTTCTGCATATATTTTTATATATGGTTCCTGTGTGGTATACATGTACTATACATAATTCCAAAGTTTTGTAGACTGCACAGGTACAATACCAGTTTATTAGATGAATCAGAACTTCATGAATTAATGATACAAAATTTTGAATCTTTTCATAACTCTTAACTTGTTTGTGCATCAATTTTTTTAAGCTACTAGTAAAACTGTGTTTTGCAGAAACAGCTCATTGATGAAACTTATTCAGGAAATTATTAAGAGCTTGTACAATAGCTGTTTGTGATCAGTACTTTTAATTAGACAAGTTTCATCTAAAATAAGTGAAAAGAAAAAATAATTAAATGTATCAGGTGGCATGATTTCAGGTACATATTCTTAGAATTCTATAAAAAATTTCCTCACATATAATCGATCCAACTCACACATAAATGACAGCATCTATGGCTATGTCGGCAATAAAAAATGATTATGTAGTTTCTGGAATTTGGTGTTTGGTAAACTTTAATATTAGGTGATTTTTATTTTAAAAATAATTTTAAAGTTATATTTCAAGTGAAGTGATTTGTGCTTAACAAGTTTTATCTTAAACTTTGTAGATAAAAATTAATACAAATTTTTTAACCTTACATAAAAGTTATATTGTGTTTAGTTCTGATCAAACGTATCCTTTAAGAATAAATTCAATTTTGATATATTATAATCATACATGAAATTGTCACTAAATAAAGTCACATTTACAAATCTTGTTTGAGGAGAGACTGATCCAAGACTTATGTGGTTGTGGCAGCATTTACAAAGATTAGGTTGCACCATTTCCTTCAATGTTGATCCAGTACTATTGATTGATTCCAAAATATGAGGAAAAAAAAAACCCAGAGAATTTCTAGGAGAGGTGATAGTTACTATATTTTTCATCAGAGCTAGCCTCAAAAGTTGTGGATGTTATCTCAGACTTCTCATTTCTCGAAGAGGGGTCCCATTTTTCCCACACCATAACCTCTCTGGCATATCTAAGAGCTTCATCAACAGTACCAGGTTCCAACCCATTAACCAGTGAAACAAACAGCTTTCGACCAGTTAGAGAATTGTACAATCTCTTGAACTTCATACCAATGTATTGAAAAGCACGTTGAGCAAGTGGAGGATGATTGCTACGTTTACTAATACTTGCGGTTTTATGGTTGTGGCTAATAACTGGATGGAAGTCACAAAACCATTCACATTGTGTTAGAGGAACCTGTTCAATCTTTTCCTGAAGCAGATCAAACTTGGTCAATATTAGAAGAAATTTCTTGTTGCTGAAGACTCTATGAGTGACGATGTTTTCAAAGAGATGTTTGGCTGCTAACATTTTGTTGGTAGCAACTCCATTACTGTCAACCATGTACTCATCATAGTCAGTTAAGGCCACTGAGAATAAGATTACATCAGTGTCTTCAAACATGTTCAACCACTTGCAGTTTTCTCCAAGGCTTTTTGGATGTACTCTGTTGAGCTGGTACCTACAAACACAAACAAAAATTCAATGAATTGCCTAGTCGTTTTATCAATCACAACGTAAATGATTTGAGTGGAATAAATCAGCTAGCTTAATTTTGGTTTGGAATTGAAAAAGGATTAAGTGCATCACTCAAAAGCTGAAGATTGATGAAATGAAAGGTGACCTGAGTGAGGGATCATGTTGATACACAGGGTCCAATGAGTCCTCATGACCTGACAAAGTAAATGAAAATTCCATAGAAGAAAGGCCATTGGATAATGTCATCCCCTCAGCATACAAAATATCCATGTCCAAGGGTTCATAATCTATCCCAGAAATTTCAACAGCCTGCATCCGACGAAATATTTAATAATAATGAGATTAAGGCAATCCTGTTACACAATTCCCACTCAAGTGATTGAGGTGGTAATCCTGTGTCACGCTGAAACTAACTCAAGGAGTTCAAATGGAATTAAAAAGAGAAGATAAATAGTTTCTACAGAGTAATAGAACATCATTTCACAGTCTAAACTGTGTCAAATTAGTTATTCCTACTATATTCCTAAGCAACTCTAATACAAAATTGGCAACAAAGTAGAAATAAGACACAAGTTCAGAAAAAAGAAAAGGGTGCATTAGTGTTATTAAGTGGAATCAGATATGAGAGTAGAATGAATTATGATTTGATGATAAATATGTGGAGGGTTAAACATCATCTTACCCGATCAAGAAAATAACTTGCATTTTTTGGTAGATTTTTTATTTCATTTCTCCTGTTGTATGTGGCCTGAATGGCTGTATCCTTCCACAGTTCCTCCACCATTGGCGCATATTCACGGGCAGCAGCTGGAAATATTACATCGAAGTTGCCTGACATCATGTATTTGAGTAGCCATTCAGAGAAAGTTCGTAGTCTTGGACTAATGGAATAGGTTGTCGTGTCAATAATTTCTTCAGTAATCCCTGTTGCAAACTATACTTCAATAACTTTTCACGAAAAGATGAATTACAAATCCATTGAGAAAGGTACTGGATGGGATAAAGCCATTTTGCTTTATGGTCTATGCTTCAAGAAAAAGAATGCAGAAGGAAAGGTGTTCAATGAAATGCGGACAAATTCTTCATTCAGACAGTTCAAAACTCCTAGTTAGCGTTTCATATATCCAAAGAAAAACAATTACCAGAAGAAGTTGATTCATCAACATGTTGTCCGTTACTTTTTTTATACAAACTCTCTTCAAAAATTTCTCGCGCCTCCAGTAGGATACCAAGGTACCTATACAGGTTGCTTTGGATAACCAGCTTGATGTTTTGGAGCTCGATTGGAGAGAAAGGAACATTATACAGAAGCTTGGCCTGCAATATAAAAGGTTCAGTGTAAGTGTAACAAATGCCAGAATTGAGATGTCAGGGAAATACCAAACAAATGCATGACAAAAATAGTTTCCCTCGAACAGCATGTTACCTGTTTATACATGGTACATGTTCCAGAATTGACAGAACCAACAAGTAAAAATTTGTGAAGAGTTTTCTGTTGAATGTTGTGTTTGCTAATTCCACTTTTGCCTTCGCCAGCAGGAGTCAAGGAGCTAGAAGGAACTGGCAGGGACAGAATTAGAGAAGCTAGCTTCACTGTAGACTGTCAAAAGCATTCATACCAGAGTTATTGACAATGGATTTATAGCTTAAGAAAAGCCAAACAAGGCAATATCTCATTTTAAAAGGTTTTTACACCATGGTCTAAACATGAATTGTCAATTTGCCATGTATGGAAAGATTTTAACTCTAATAATTACTATAAAAGTTACATCACATCTAAGGTGATTCCTAATTACTTTCTAACAGTATAAAATTCTTTGCTCAAAATCTATCAAAATTAAACTCAACATCAATCTACACATGGATTACCTTCTCCCATATATGCCCCTTGACATTCCTCTGTCCCACTTCCATGTATGATCCATCAGGAGTCACCCAATAGTCGGTTGTTTCATTACATGGAACTCTTGCCAACTGCAATCAAACAAATAACACTTCAGTTTAAGAGTTTCAAAATTTATAATATGAAAGTGCCCAGATCAACAACCACCTTCAGTATCCATAGCTCTTCTTTAGTAATCTCTCGACCATTTATAGTTACTTCTGTCTTTCCATTGCTTGCATTTCTCTGCAAGTGACCCCCAACCTCCAACTGTGGACTAATAATTTGACTTGGCCGTTGACCTTCCTGCACGATCAAGCAGTACACCATATTTGAGCTTTGCTTGTAAAAAACATAAAGGTTAAGTTCAAGTGGAGAAAGTATCTAGAAGGTTTGACTTGATTATCACCTTTCCCCAAAAGCCAGATGCTTTATCATACCAATAGAAACCCGGTTTCAATCCTTTTGGGGGGTTTGAACAGGTCAAAAGCAGCGTGAGCTGATCCCAATCAAGAGGTTCTCCATTCACACGAACATCTTCTGCTGGTATTTGATTTGCTTTACAAAACATCTCATCCTTCATGATTTGTTTCACTTCCCACGAAGACAAGAAGTGCTTGAGCATCCTAGAAGGTTTCCCTAGCTTCCCTCGCTTGTTCTCATCAATTCTGCAACCAATACAAGTGACACATTTTCTGCCTTCAGACATGGACCCCATTACTCTACGCACACAATTGCGACAAAACTTTGCACTGCAAACAATGCAAACCTCCCTCTTAGTTAGACGACTCCCCTTGAGGCATCGATAGCACGTACCCCTCTTCCCACCTCTCTCAACGTGCGGCCTCACACGATTACTATTGCTATTACCGTTGTCACTATTACTTTCTCCACTTGCAGATTGAACAAACTCTTCATCAGCCACTATTTCATTTATCTCAGGATCACGAAAAGTCACCACGGAGGGCCGTTTAACATGTTTTGGGCTAACTGGGTCGTCATCATCATCATGATCCTCTTCTTTGCATGAAAGTGGGTCGGAAGAAACAGAAGCAGCTCTTGAAGCCAATTTTGCATTGGTTTTTCTAAAGGGTTGGATAATTGGGAGGGACAAGTTGTTAGAAGGAGAATGAGCAACACGTGCAAGTGGGACTTTGTCAAGGTTGAAAGGAGGAACTTCTGGGACGGAGTAGCAGAGAGGAGGGCCTTTGTATTCCTCAGCAAAAGAGTATTCATAGCTGAAATCATCACAAGCGTCATGAACTGAAGGCACACCAGGACGTAGATTTTTCAGAAGCGATGCCATGTACGATATATAATTTCAGGGTCGAAGTTTCAAAAGCCAAGTGAAACAAACTTGTTCACTCTGATATCATCAACACAACTTGCTGCTGCTCATGCTATTCCTCAACCTTTACTCATTGTTCGAAACGTAATATCAATGATCTTGACTTGAGAAACAGCAAGTGAGTGGCAATTGCTTCGAGTTTATGAAGGAGACCAACAAGGAAAAGAGTGGCACAGGTTTTGATTTGGTAATGAACACGTATTCAAAATGTTGGAATGGAAATTGCGGAGAAAAGAAATGGACAACGACGATGGCTTGGAACCTTTCAAACTACAGGAACTGTTCCGTGCTGCGTAGAGGTATGTAATCCTTAAATATCTATTATTATGTTACCTTTGAATGATTGAAAAGCATTTTAAGTATACAAAATTAAGGTTACTTAAATGGAAACGCAACTTGCTAGAAAAAAGGAACAAATGAACAAATCAATTGAAATTGACACATGCGCAGGTTATTTATTTTAGAAACATAGTCAACAGCTAACAAAAAAGTATTTATGGCTAGTGTTTGTCAGCAGAGTAGGGAGAAAAATATTGAATATACGTAATTATCACGCGTTACTGATTAGGAGGACTAACGAAATTTTGTTGTTTTATTATAATATCGTTGAGAAGGGAAGCTGACTTGTTCTCGGGGGATGGAGGCTTTGCTGAATATACCAACATTTGAAGATATTATAAAATTAATTAGCGATGCAGAGACGTTGACATTTTGAGTTTTGACTGACACCAAAATATCATTCTTAGTATCTCTAACCAAGAGAAAAACTATACAAGTGATTTTATTCGAAATCTGATGGAGCAGGAGCAGTACACACACACACATCATTTCTAACTTGAAAGGTTAAACAAAAAGCCCTTTCTTCAAGGGTTAAAACATTGAAGAAGCATGGAAAGTGAAGCCTCCGAAAAGAGCAACCTAGGCTTGTTAACTTGCTTGAGTTGTGCAGCAAGCTGAGCCAACCCTGATGAGGTCTTGTCCTTTTCCTGGAAGGATTGGGCAGATTCATGTTGAATGGCAGAAGCAGAGTAAATGGTTTGATCCTTTTCCCTTAGTTTGGACAGTTCCCCTGTCCATATATCCACCAGTGCAGACATGACTTGAGATCTTCCGAATTTACAGCAAAAGCCAAAAGCACACTAAATAGAGAACCGGTAAGAAAAATATGGGGCTGAAATGAAGACGCAAGGAAAAGCAAGAAAGAAACTTGTGCAATATTCAGTTTGATACGAGAGGTATATATGTATATATAAGAATGTTTGAGAAATGAAGTATTTTGAAACTGTGTTCTTTGTGTGAAAATCTGAGGGCGTGAAACCGTGATAGTAGGGTATACAACAGGTGTGAAATATTGTTGTTTTCTCTTTGCCATCCTTGCTCAGCACCTGCGAAAGTGCCACTTGGCCTTAGTGCGAGAATATTCTTTTAGATCTGTGTGCCATCGCTAGATAATTTAAAGCATAAACATGGTACCTCATGTCTTATTTATTTAAATAATTTTTATAAAATACTCTTTATCTATTACATCAGCAAAGTTATTAATAATAAAAAATATATATATATATATATATATATATGAAATATTTTCTTTATTAAAATAAGTTGTGTATTCAATTTTTTTATAATTAATTTTTTAAAAATATTTTTTAAATTTTATTTCATTTTCTTTATCTATTTTTTAAAATGCATTAATTTTTTTCTTTATTAATTATGAATCATATTTTTTATTCTCATATTTTATGATTTTTAAACATATAAATTATAATTATTTATAATTAATTTTTGAAATAACATTTATTTTCTCTTACTAAAAAGACGGTTAGGAAAAAAAATTCTCATTATATATAATTTTAGATAACTAATATTTTTTTATTAATTTAATTTTTTATAAAAATTAAATAGAACTTATTTTATTATAATTTTTAGCATGTGTAAGGTATCAATTGTGTAGAGAACGAAAATTTAACTTGGAAGGAATGAAAAATTGATTTAGGGTTTTATATGAAGTATAATTTGTTAGTAACAGTACCATTTATAGTTTTTTTTTCTCACACACCAATCAAGTTATGTTTCCACAAAAATCAAAGCGATTGACACAATTCCTTTATCGTTTGAAGACAAAAATTCTAAAACTTTTATTGGTGACATGATACAAAGATGATGCTGTTTTACATTCACCATCTCGTTACCACCCTTTTTTTATTCTCACATTAAAATAAAATCATATTTGAATTTTATATGGATTAAATTAATACTACAATTTTTTTATAAAAATTATTTTAATGAGTAGAACATTATACAAACACCAAATAAATACTTTATTTAAACCAAATTTTAAATAATGTGGCATTTCATTGTCTCTATCTGTTAAATTAATAAATTTTTAATTTAATTAAAAAATTGAAAAACAAAATCATATTTATATTATAATAACTTGACTAACACAAAAAAAAGAATTATAACCAATTTCACAAGACATTTTAAATGTAAGAAATAGAGAAGCAAGACGTAAGAGGTTATCATTTTATAGATTGGAAAGGCTCACGCTAGGCTAGCTTTCGTCGAAGGGATACAGAAGAGCTGAAGTATTTGGAAAAATGAAAGTAAAATAGAAATAGTTAAAAAAAAATTAAGTTTATTATTGTTTATCTATTAGTATATTTACGTACTATAACTGGATACCCAACACTAAAAATCATCTGTACATTAGATGGTTTGATGTTTGGATGATTCCTACTTTATTAACTACAATTTCTGTATTTATTAGTTTTTATTGCTGCCCCTCCAGTAGATATTTACGGTATTTGTGAACCTGTTTCAGGATATCTGCAATTCCTCCTGGAGACATCAGTGGTGCAATATCATGCTGGTCCAGACAGAAACAAAACATTAGCGACATTCTTTCGGCCAAGGATCCAAACCATACTCCTCAATCAGTATGGCAATGCACGTAGCAGGTGCTAAAAGCTACACTACACTTTTTTAAACCAGGAAGGAAAACATGGTAATCCTTTTTCATCTCCGACGCGACCAGCTTTGAGCCTAGGACTTCACTGTGGGATGTCATGGCAATGGCATAGTAAATGCAAGCCCACATGTAAGGTGGAAAATAGTAACCCTGCCTGGACAAAATCTGAAATCAAAGGGATGGCAGAAGCTAAACAGTTTGGCCCTGGATCAGTGATTGTGATCAATAAAAGACTTTAAGAAATGGCCAGATGAATGGAACCTGAAAAAACTTGTTCTGGAGGCTTCCTGTATCACCAGGAAATAATATCTGGCCTATGAACCTATTCCTCACCATGGTCAACCCAGCAAGGCTTCAGGTCAATTCTTGCATAATATTGGGAATGGGACTTCAGATGCTCGAGTCTGAGGACCTCTTGAAACCTCAAATCCATGGTGTCCAACCTTCGTACATGTTGCATAGATTATCTACACTAGTAGCTTGCTTTAGTAGATAATCTACTTGCTCTGCAATATCAATTTCTCTGAAATCCAAAGAAGGCACAGCATTGATAAAAAAATTCAGAAGATTTTGTGATTGCCAAAATACCCTACCCACCTGCTTTCAGAGATATCTCGACCATCAATTTTCATCTCCACCCGCCTCAATACTGACAAGGCATAAGCATTTTTACCTAGCATAAAGAGCAAAAAGCCACAAATGAAAAAGGGTATGTCAAATCCTTTATATTGGTAACATTTTCAATCACATACGAAATTTTGATGTCTGATGGACATAGTTTAATGAGGCGTACTAGTATGCGTAAAAGATTATTTTCTGTCTTGCTTTTTTGCTTCACACATTCATTGGTAACGAAGGCTGCTTCTGTTTCTATTTTTAAGAAAATAGAGTTCACGAATATCTTTGGATGTGAAATTGCAATCTCCAAAACTAGTTCTAGATATTCAATTCAAATAACCATAAATGCAAACTAATCTACATGATTACCCGAAACCTTGGTCCTTTGTCCAATTAAAATTTTATAGATAATTTACACTGATAAAGACAAGACCTTGATATTAAGTCAGTCTCTTCGAAAATGTGCAAGGAAATGAAAGGAAAAATAGATAATACTTCCACACTTTCTACTTATTCCTTACATTTAAAAAAAAAAAAAAACTCAAACTAAGATTAAATGAAAGAAAAAGAAACTGTCTACTCCATGGCATATTACCACTTCTAACTAAATTTTCTGGCACATAATAATTGTGTAGTGATAATAAGAAACCATGCAAGTCCATTTGTATGGGATAGTACATTTTCTTTTAATTAGATATGGATAAATTAATTTTATAGGGGTTCATCTTTCATGTTGTTTATCTGTCTTTTCATATTCTTCTTAAACTAGGGTTAAGGGTTTGGGCTAAGGTTCATATCCTCTCTGTTGAATCTTTTTTTTTTATAAATACAATTGTAACAGTGCCTCTAGACACTATAGTAAACCCTAAATAAATTTTCTCAAGTTAGTATCAGGACAGGTAAGATCCGGTACTGATTTCTGGTCACCTTTGTCATCTCCGACCACCATGGGCCACAGTCATCTCTGCCGACCACCGTTTCTGTTTGGATTGGTGAAGGTGGGGTTTTGTGTGCCTCGAGGAACGCGACCCACCCCTGCAAGTTGCTCCTTCATCAGCTGCCCCATGCGCTGTCATGCGATCCTTCCTAGAGCGTCTTCTTAGGCGCATGTGTCCCATGCACCGCCTTTCAGTGACTGGAATCAAGGCCGATCACCTCTATTCGACTCGTCGACATCCTACGAGTCCAGTGGTGTCCTTACTTTTCTATTTTGAGAACTCTAAGTGGAAGGTCCTATGGGTACTCCTATTCTTTGGTTGGTTCAGATGGCTTCATCCACTGCCTTCACCTTCTTTGCTACTCCCACCATAACCAGTGTCAGACTCAACTAGAAAAATTACTTATCCTGGTTTGCATCAGTTAAACTATGGTTTCTAGGTCAGGGGTATCATGATCACCTAGAAAAGGATGAAAACTCTATTTCTACTGCAGAAAGGTCTTAATGGGAGAAAATAGACTTCCAGCTTTGTGCAATCTTATAGTAGTATGTGGAACCAGAAGTTCTTGAGCTTTTCAGGTCATTCAAAACCTGTTCTTTCTTTTGGAAAAAGGCTCAAGATAATTTTGCTAATGATATTCAACGTCTCTTTGATGCAACTCAAAGAATGACGTCACTTAAGCAGACCAATCACAACATGATGGTTCATATTGCAAAAGCTATGGCTGATGTGGAGGAATTAAAAAGGTTTATTGTAGCAAATACCTTAGAGTTAAACTCCAAACTTGATAAGTTGTATATGGTTCTAAGTTTGAGGAGTCTGCATTCTAATTTTGATCATATGCATGATCAAATTCTAGTTGGCGATCAGGTTTTGTCAATAGACAATCTTGTCACTAGTTAATTCGAGTTCCTACTCTTATGGCAGATGAGAATCAGGTGGAAACGGTTGAAACTTCTACTATGATTGCTCTTCGTGGTCAAGGGAGAGGATGGACGTGGTAATACGAAAGTTCATCCTCAATGCTCCTATTGTAAGAGGATGGGACACACACAAGAAAACTATTATTCCTTGTATGGTTTTCCTGACAAGAATATCATTGCCCGTGCATCTAAATCTGAAAAGCCAGATATGAAGATTTTTTATGAGAAGTATGAAGAATTGTTGAAGTTTCGGGAAAGTTTAGCAATGAGGGTCAATCTTCTTCAATGTCAAGTGTTTCAACAACATGCATTTCTCAATCTATGGAAGATCAGAAACTAGGGATTCTTGATCCAGGTGCCTCTGATCATATATCTAGTGATAGTTTCTTGTGTTCGTTCATGTCCTATCCTAAAATTCCTTACTTAATCATTGTGGTTAATGGAATTTCAAGGAGTTGGCCAAGTTTATTTAACCCCATCTCTAAATTTAAATTTTGTTCTTTTTATTCTTAATTGCCCTTATGACTTATCTTTCTAAGTCAACCGACTTGTTTTTTGAACTGTTATGTAATCTTTCAATTATTTTGTTATTCAAGAACATGGTACGAGTCGTCTGATTAGAGAAGGACATGAATCACGTGATCTATACTATCTGAATCCAAGTCCTTCGGTGTCTTGTCTGGTTTCTCCCGCTCCTATACTTTTACATGATTGTCTAGACCACCCAAGTCTATCTAAGTTGAAAGTGATGACTCATAATCTTCAACATCTTTGGGTTTTAGAGTGAATATTGTCAATTAGGTCTACTTTTCCTAAATAGTCTGAAACTCGATATAATTTTTCTTTTTCAAATATTCATTCTGATGTTTGGGGATTGAGTTGTGTTTCTTCTTTTGGCTTTCGGTATTTTGTGACCTTTATTGATGAATTTTTCAGATGTACTACGATTTATTTAATGAAAGACAAATATAAACTTTTATCCATTTTGTGTCTTTTTTCAATGAAATTAAAAATCAATTTGAAAAGATAATTAAAGTTCTCATAAGTGCTAATGCCAAATAATATTTCTCTCCCTCCTTCTCTTCTTTTTTATCTTCCCAAGGTATTTTACATTAATCAACTTGTCCTCACACGCCATACAAAAATAACATTATTCTCCTGCTCCTATACTTTTATATGATTGTCTAGACCACCCAAGTCTATCTAAGTTGAAAGTGATGACTCATAATCTTCAACATCTTTGGGTTTTAGAGTGAATATTGTCAATTAGGTCTACTTTTCCTAAATAATTTGAAACTCGATATAATTTTCCTTTTTCAAATATTCATTCTAATGTTTAGGGACCGAGTCATGTTTCTTCTTTTAGCTTTCGGTATTTTGTGACCTTTATTGATGAATTTTTCAGATGTACTAGGATTTATTTAATGAAAGACAAATCTAAACTTTTATCCATTTTGTGTCTTTTTTCAATGAAATTAAAAATCAATTTGAAAAGATAATTAAAGTTCTCATAAGTAATAGTGCCAAATAATATTTCTCTACCATCTTCTCTTCTTTTTTATCTTCCCAAGGAATTTTACATTAATTAACTTGTCCTCACACCCCATACCAAAATGACATTACAGAAAGAAAAAAAAAGGCACCTTATTAAGACTACACGCTCTCTAATGTTGAATGCTAATATCTCTGTTCATCATTGGGGAGATGCAGTTCTCACTGTTTGTTTTTTTATTAATCGAATGTCATCTCTTAAAAATGAAATCCCACATAATCTTATCTTCTCAGATGATCCTCTTTATCATGTATCTTCTCATGTATTTAGTTGTACCTGTTTTGTTCATAATTTTTCTCCAAGTCTTGATAAACTAAATGCTAAAGCCATTCAATGTGTTTTCTTGGGATACCCTCGCCTTCAGAAAGGGTATAAATGTTATTCTCCATCACCCAAAAGGTATTATATGTCGGTTGATGTCACCTTCTTTGAGGAAACACCCTTCTTTTCTTCCCTCGTGTAGGATGGTTCTTGTATTCAGCATGTTCTGCCTATATCTTCATGTGATTCACTTATAATACCTGATCTTTCTCCAGTTCAGCCTACATGTCATAATGATTTTGCTCCTCTTTTCACATATCACCGCAGGATATCTTCTACACCTTTACCAATTTCTGTAGATAATCGTGATTCAAATTCTTTTCCATCAACTTCTCATACTATGGATTCTTCAACCTTCTTTCCCACTTCTGATTTTGGATGGCCTATTGCACTAAAAAAAAAGTACTCATTCCACTCGAAATCCCTTTCCTATTTATAAGTTTTTAAGTTACCATCGTCTATCTCCTTTATATTCTTATTTTGTTGTCTCTTTGGCTTATACCACTATTCCAAACAATGTCCATGAGGCTCTTGATCATCCTGGATGGCGATAAGTCATGATTGATGAAATGTAGACTCTTGAGCATAATGGCACTTGGGAGTTTGTCCCTCTTCCTCCTAACAAAAAGATTGTGGGTTGTAGATGTGTTTATGCAATTAAAGTTGATAATAATGGTAAAGTGGATCGTCTCAAAACTTGTTTAGCAGCTAAAGGCTACACTCAAATTTATGGCCTTGGCTACTGTAATACCTTCTCTCTAGTAGCTAAGATTTCCACTATTCATCTTTTCCTTGCTATGACTGCTATTTGTCATTGACCCATTCACCAACTGGACATTAAAAATGTCTTTTTTTATGGTGATCCTGAGGAAGAAATTTATATGGAGCAACCTCCTGGCTTTGTTGCTCAGGCAGAGTCTGGTTTAATGTGTAAGCTATATGGATCTCTTTATGGCTTCAAGCAGTCACCCTGAGCTTGGTTTGGGAAATTCAATCATGTTGTGCAGTTGTTTGGCTTGAAAAGGAGTGAAATAGATCACTCAATGTTTTATTGTCATTCCATTTCAAGCAAGAGTGTATCTTATGGTTTATGATTATACTAAGATCAACCAACTAAAGAATCATCTATTCGCTCACTTCCAAACTAAAGATCTTGGTCAATTGAAGTATTTTCTTGGTATTGAAGTGGCCCGGTCAAAGGAAGGTGTGATCATGATGTGGACATAAAGGCCCAAGCCCATAACGAGAAGGATCAAGACCAAGATCCAATCCAAGACTTAGGTAGACCTATGACAAGAGGCAGGCTCAAAAAAGCACAAGA